CGTGTCGGGTGGGGGGGACAGCAGGGAGACAGGCCCGCAGTCGGGAGGGAAGGGGGACGAGGTGCCTGGTCCCGACCAGCGCCCAGCTTCGGGCCCCCCCTTCCCTCCCGCCTCTCTGCAAGGGGCACCGTCTTGTGCCCTGGAACTGCGGCCGAGGCATGCAGAAACCGTGCTGGGTGGAGAAGGCTGGCTGGCTGGCTGAGAAAAGCTTCATTGGCTAAATCTTTCGCCTGCCAAGGTGCTGCTAAAGCTACAGGAGCAAGGCCGGCTGAAAAAGGTGACCCTGGTAGAGGCTTGCCCTTTTTTCCCTCTCTTTTTTTGCAGCCCTTGGCCTTGGGCCACGAAGAGCAGCATCCTACCAGGCTGAAATTTAGCAAGTGAACATTTTCTTCCCTGAATAGGGCGTCATGGCAGGAAAAGCCAAGAGGGGTGCCTTTTGAGGCACAGGAGGAAGGCCCGAGTGTGAGGAAAAAAGGCCAACCTCTTGCCTTTGCAATTTGTTAAGATCAACTCTGTGCTTTTAGCCTTTGGCATCTAGCAAATACTCAGAAATTTGCAGGTAGATGTTTTCCTACAATATTTTTTTTTACTAGGGAGAGCTGTAAATCCCAATCTGTCTGTTGTAACTTTCCTAATCAAACCACCTCTGTTTCTTCCCTACCTATTTCAAGCCTAGACTTTTTACTAAGGTATGTGTTGGGGTAAAAAGCTAGATTGTGACTAGAATGTCTTTCTAGTAAAATTAATTATGCACAGAGAGGCTATTGCCGGGAAAGCAGAGTAGGCCCATTGGATCTCTATGGTGTGATGCATCTTCTTTATATATTTGTTGTTTTCAGTTGATTGGTAAAGATGGAAAGAGGCAGAGGAGGAGGAGGAGGAAGGAATGTGGGGGGCTCTGGCCTACACAGGAGCATTTACTCCCAGTCCCAGCACCAGTATCATTATCCTGCCTCCTCTTCTCAGGCGGCCTGCATGGAAATCCAGGAGCTGGCCTCCAAAAGAGTGGACATCCAAAAAAAGAGGTTTTATCTGGATGTGAAGCAGAGTTCCAGAGGCCGCTTCCTGAAGATAGCAGAGGTCTGGATAGGAAGAGGCAGGCAGGACAATATCAGGAAAAGCAAACTGACTCTCTCCTTGTCAGTAGCTTCTGAGCTAAAGGATTGTTTGGGAGATTTCATAGAGCATTATGCCCATTTGGGCCTAAAAGGAAGCCAGAGTCATCGGAATGAACATCCTAACGGTAAAGAACAAGATTCAAGAAGGCGGCAACATCATCCACCATCACCTCCAGTATCTGTTGGATCTGAAGAGCATCTTCATAGTGTGCTGAAAACAGAATATATTGAAAGAGACAATCGGAAGTATTACCTTGACCTGAAGGAGAACCAGCGTGGGCGTTTCTTAAGGATAAGGCAGACCTTGATTAGAGGACCTGGCATGATAGGATATTTTGGCCACAGTTTAGGACAGGAACAAACTATTGTCCTTCCAGCACAGGGGATGATTGAGTTCAGGGATGCTTTGGTTCAGCTCATTGAAGAGTATGGTGAAGGAGATATAGAAGAAAGGAGGAGTGGAGGAGATGAGCCTCCTGAACTCCCAGAAGGGACTTCCTTCAGGGTGGACAACAAGAGGTTCTACTTTGATGTGGGGTCCAACAGGTATGGTATTTTTTTGAAGGTAAGTGAAGTGAGGCCTCCATATCGTAACACCATCACTGTCCCATACAAAGCATGGACAAGATTTGGGGAAAATTTTATCAAATATGAAGAAGAAATGAGGAGAATTTACAACGGCCATAAAGAGAAAAGAATGGATATCAGAGGGGACAGTGGTGAAGAACAAGAGGGGCTTGACTAGGATGTATTTCACCAGGCCAAGAAGGAAACCATGTTGGATACTGTTATGTAGTAGCTGGAAGAAGTTGCCTTTTGTTTTGTAAGTTCTTCCCTGTTGTCCGATAACTTGATTATGTATGAAACTACAAGGGTCTGTTTTTCGTGTTAAATTATACCCAGCAACATCTCTGTGGTTTATTATGGGAAAAATTAATGGCCCTAAGATCCTGATATTTAACTTTACAGGACTATGAAATTATGTATAATAGCACCAAATTTGTAATGACCTCTTCACAAATATGTATAATTTTGTGTTGCAGTGTAATACGATACAAGGAAGCCAGATGGAATTAATATCTTCTAATATTAACTGTAGAGCATTTATGACCAAAACTGACCTTTAAATTTTAAATGCTTGTACTGGAAAAGGTATCATTAAATAAGTTAATATTCTGGTTACTTCACAGTAAAAGTTCTTGAGGGAGTGGGGATCAAAACTCTGTATTATATTGGCCAGTAATTAATTTCATGATCATTCAGTTTTTATGATGACCCAGTAATTTAAGTGTCCAAATGATGAAAATCTATGTTTGACTTAATAGGTTGTTTCAAATTAATGTTGTTCATGCATCATCCATTTGTATGGATTGCTTACATTATGTGAAAAGAGTTTATTTCAATAGTGTTACAAAATTTCAAAAGCTATTTTTATATTTGTGGGTTTATGGGGGTCTAGCAAGTTGCTGTGATGTGGGAATTTAAATAGTTGATTTACACTTGAGAATGAAAATCTAAATACGGAGGTTAAACGTCTGATGTGGGAAAGTATTAGAGTAAGTTTTGTTTTGTTTTTTCTTTATACTTTGAGAAAATGCTTTGAGAGATTTTGGTGCATTACTTAATTGGTATCATGTTTGGTTTCATATTGGTGCAGTTGAAGAGTTCAGTAACAGTTTATCAGCACTTGCTTTACAACATTTGCTTCTTTAACACCTAATTATTGTAAGCCTCAATCTATGCTATTTTTTGTTTGTTAAAAGATAAACTTATGATCTTCCAGCCAAATCTGTTAAAATACATGTAGAGATAAGAGTTTCAATCAAAGGGAACATTTAGTGGATGTTTAATTATCCAGAATATTGGTTGGAGAATGTTCAGATTATTTTCTGTAGGAGGCTTGTCATGAACCAAGAATTATAATATGAAGTTTATTTATCTGACAAAATTTACTAATTCCTTTAAGGCTGCAATCCTGTGTCCATCTAACTTGGGAATAAGACCTACTGAATATAATGGAACTAATTTCTGAGTAGATAAGCCTTGGTTTTCATGTACAATTAATCCAATTTTAAATTTGGACCAAAAGTTTGCTTTTAAACACCAAAGCATGTGCTCTAGACCTTGATACTGTGTAATTGTTTGTTCTTTTAACATACGACTGTATTTTATAATTCTTTTCCATCAAAGAAATTGAGTATATCTCAGCATTTTAGATCCATATACTGTACACATGTTTCATATCAATATGATCTGTTACCCAAGAAAAAATTTTCTAGCTTTAAATTTTTTTCTGCTTGACACTTCATCTCAAAACCATCTTAAATATGTACTGTGATCTCGTTTCACCAGAATTCTCTGTGAAAGCGGAGAGCATAGTTTGATATTTATTTTGGTGTCAAAATATTTTTATTTCAGAAGAAGGAGGGAAAAAAGAACTTGCACCAAAATCACCAAAGGAACTTTAGAAATGTGTGTTACAGTTGTGACAGAGAGAAAGAGAAGTATGGACTTTAATTTCACTGTTTTAGGTGATTTGCCCAATATATGAGAATTGTACCTATTGAGCATTTGGTCTAGTTTCTGAATAAGAGCTAACATATAATGTTTAACAGAACGAAGATTTCTAATTCGATGATTTTAATTATGAGTGGCCCACTGGCCTACAGTATGTTATTGGAAGATTACACATTAATCTTGATATAAAAGAGGACACAAAGGGTATTTCTGAGTGAGGGGAACTTAGATATTTGAATTAAAGTGTTCTATGGACAGTTGTTAGCAGAATTGTAATGAATTGTTTAAGCCTAAGTCACCATATTGCTGATCTGCTGTTGCATATCCCAGTGCCTGTAGTAATGGCAATGTTATCGGATTCCACGATATATGGGATCCATGAATGTAGGAACTCCTGATGCTCACATTTTCCCAACTCTTGTTAATGGCAGTTTTTCTTACCCCTTCAAGTTTCTTTTACAAATGATGCTTTAGGCAAACATTATGCTGTTGCTAGAACTTTACCCTATTTTGTTTTTTTTTTAAATCAATGAAATACCATGCATAATTCCTATGAATGTTTAATGGATAAAGGCATATTGATTGTCTGAATAACATCTTAAAAATGCTTTACCTTTACAGTTTTTTTTTTAAAAAAATGAATAGTTGTAAAGTGACACCAACAATTCTTCAGTCAGAACACATAGTAGTTCATACACTGGCATGTGCAGTTTTGCACAAGTACTATCTATATTTTCTTTCCTTGTTGAGCAAAACATCCAGTACTCAGCTGTGAATATTGCATGTTTCCTATGATCCTCTCATTTCTGTATCCTTGTGTCAGTAAACAAGGCTAAATTTTCCTCTATATACAGGCACAGGTTGCCCCATGTTCTTCAAAACAACTACGTGTGCATCCTCATGTGAGCATCAGAGACTGACTACACATGAGCCTTAAGGTGGTTGCCACCTGCTGTATAAGGTGGATACAGTACACTGTTTTTGGCTTATCCTTTAGAAGTGACTGTTCTCATTCATATCTTCAAATCCAAGGGGTATATAGTCAGATTTACAAAGTTAAGAATTTTGATGGTAATTGGGGAAAGAGTTTCTCTTTACATCTGGCAGTACACCTACATCTTTGGAAACTGGCAATAACATGTTGAGTATTTGCAGAACGGCCTGTTAAAATGTAAAGAAATATGCTTCGCACCCCAAAAATACCGTGTCCCTTAAACTTGAGGAAAAACACAAGCTTATTTGCACTAAAAAGCATGGCCAAAAACAATTCTAAGAGGGCAGGGGTGGATAAATCAGTTGTACCTCTTGAATGATTCTTTCTCATGAGAGAATTTTGTGTAAAAGCCCTAACCTCTCTTTAAAACTATATGGTCCAGACAGAAAGTCTGTCAGTTTTGTGATTTCATAATAATGCACTTTATATTTTATAAATAATAGAAGCACATTTCTCCTACTGGTCTGGTACAGTGTGTTTCAGTATAACTTATACTCTAAATTAGTATAAAAATTGCCTTCTGCATGCATGTCTCTATGTGATCTATTACAAGGATGACGTCAAATTATACAGGCATGATGGAGAACAACAGGCACAAATTGAGATTAATTCTAAAATATCAGAGGCCTGTTTTTTCAGAAATTGATTTTTGACAAAATCAGTATTTCTGAAACTCAAATACTTCAACAGATATTTAGATATTACTGCAGCTTGTGCAGATGTGGGTTAAATAACAGTCCTAGCTGTAGTTTTGTAATATATAATCCTCTCCACCTCTAAATTGTTGCTTTAGGGGGCTAGACTTTGTGGCTTTCACTGGGTTATGGGCCATATGTTCTGACTATATCTCATAAAATGTAGATTTTCTTTTTCTTTCTTTTTTCTAATGTACAAACATGGAAAGTCAATATGGTAGATTACTGACAAAAGAAAGTTCCATAGTACAGTTAAAATTACTAGGACATATCTTAAATAGTTCATCATATCAACAAAGGAAGATCTGAAATGTATTTGTGTATTACTTGTTTTACTTGTTTAATATATTTTTTAAAACTGGCTTTCTGCAAATATATATATATTTGCAGAATATATATATATATAAAGTCATACTTCAGAAGAGTACGAAGCAAGGACATCTGTTTTCTCAGAGCCTGCCAATTTTAGACAATAGAGCTTAAGATGAAGATACTATTCTTATTAGCAACAAATTAAAAGTAAATACAAGCTTGAACTAACCTAATTTCATTTTCCTTCTTCCTGGGGGGAAGGAGAAAATTTCTAGCTTTGAGTGGTTTCACTGAACAGCAATTAGCTAATCATTCCCAATGCATTTTACATAGCATATTTTCTGTTAGGTATATTTGTGACTCAGATGTTGCAAAGGCCATGTTCTTATGATACAAGAATCATACACTTTGTGTTACTGCTCCCAGTTTAATTATATAACCAATTACATCCTCCCATCAATGATTACATGTTTATTTCATTTCCAAGGAGATGGCGTCTTTCAATAAAATTCCTAAAGTTGAGTCCAGATGTCTGCAGGCAGACGGTTGATAGTAACACTTGAAATGTCTTTCTTCAGATGCCTGCTAAGGGAAAAGTAGCACACATAGTATGCAAATATTACTAACAATTAGCTTGATCACATTGTCCAGTCACTTATCTTACAAAAATCAGTGTTAATAAAGAAGTATACTTATGCCACCCAGGTTTTACAGCATATTTCTCTTCCCCTACCTCTTTTGCTTTTCCCTTATTTTCTTTTTAAATGATCCAAGCAGTTGCATTGTGCTTGCCCTCACCCTCTCTTCTGTTTAGTCTTTCTTTTTAGCTGAGCTTGTTATTAGTCAAATTGCTAAGGCTGGGAGGTAGGCATAAAGAAAGAGACTTATTGACTTTTGACTCAGATTTTAAGCTTTTCTCCATTACAGAGCTTTTATCTCCCAGGACTTGGAAATTGCCAATTAGCACTTTGTTAGCATGGCAGCTTCTGCTGTTGGAGTGCCATGAAGATAGAGCTTTCTGGCTCTGGCCTGCTGAACCCTTGCAAATTGTCATCTGGACATCTACACTGATTCACTTGGGGCACTCCATTTGATAAACCGTGAATATATAGCTGATCAAACTGTATTTTGCCTGGAGTGTTGTTGCACCCTCAGTCAGAGCAGTTTAGAACTGTTTTCATATACTGTAGAAGAAAAAAAGTGTGAAGCAGTCCTAAGATTTAATATAGTTGATGTGATAAAGTAATGTTTGTTTTGAGAGGAATATCACTGTATATTGAATGCATCCATAGTGTATATTGAATAGTTTTTCATAAAATATCAATTTCTGAATCACTCGGTTTAAAATTAAGATCTATCGTTCTGTTCCTGCAGAACAAAAATATCAGATAAATTTGTATTTCACTAAGTGATTTAATCTCTTAGTCACCTTGTATTTTCCAGATTATATGTTTTAAATATGACTAGATTTTAGTACAAAACTCAAAGGGGCAGGCCTCTCAGTGTAGCAGAAAGAAACATCAGGAAAAAGTGCAAAAGCTTCTTAAAATATAAAATATGAATTGTGAGAGCAGGAGGACAAAATATCCAATGCCCTAACTTTTTATGTTATATCTAAACTGCAGGTTTCAAAATAGTACTGATAGTTATGTGAAAAACACATGGTTCCCCAAAATAGACAGAAAAAATTAGGCTTTTCATAATTTATTCAAAATGTTCATGTAGTATTTTAGTGGAATGGGCATTGGTAGGTGGTTTTGACATTATATCCTAAGAAAGATATATTGATGAAATTGTCTGTACTCTTCAGTTTTCTCACTGAAAGAGTTTTAAGAGTTCCACAGTTCATAAGAAACCAGCATTGTTTATTATTGTTTACTACCATGCTGGTTCAAACTGATACAGGTGCAATATGCACATTTTAAAATGTAGCACTTTATTTTCTTGCTTTGTCTGAAATTTCATTTTTTTTAAAGCCATTAAATTCAAAATCCCATATGCACTACAGTGCTATTGAACTGGATGGTGGCATTTTTGTTTGGTTAAAATATGTTAAAAAGTTAAGGCCAGTTCTTGGAGGTAAGCTGCTTCAATGACATGCCACAGCTATATATTTGTGCTTTCTTGACAAGCAAAAGCACCCTCTGTTGCCATCATGATATGATTTTGTATATTATTATAAAGGTGCAATAATATAGTATACCCTTCTTTATCAGATACAGTATCTTTTTCCTTGTATAAATAGGTGTAGTTCAGCTATAATTATTTTTGTCCTATCTGATTAAAATAACCTGTGCCCACACTTTTTCTGCATCCTTTTTTGTTCAAATTAGCAACAAGATTCTAGTTTGGGGCAAAAGTCTTTGGACTCAAGCACACCAGATGTTGTCAGTTTGGCTAAAACTAGTGTTATAAAAACCATGAAATTATTAATTAAGCTGAGCACACAAAGAAGTAAGAAAAGGAAGCTCACAAATACAAGGCTTGTTCTAAAACATCTAAACTGTGATTCAGATTCTAAACTTTAGAAGATTAGGAATATTACAACAAAATTATTTCTGACTGTTACAATCAGCCACAAACTGTTCATACTAATGTAAAAGGGATGCAGATTTTATTGTTAAATAACTTTGACATTCCTGGAGATAGATTATACATTAGATTCCAGACATTAAACATGTCAGTCACAGACAGTGGCACCTAAATGACAGAAATATTGTAAGAAGAATCTAGTAGTGAGGCAGCACCTTTATTTGGACAAACCAAAATGCCACAAATGTCCAAGGTGAGAGAAATATTTTAATTAACTTCTGAATTTAATCATTATCCAATTCTGTACCTGTCTTCAATATGAACGAGAGTCAGTGAGGTGCTAGTGTCAGACTAAGATTCAAGAGATCTGGATTTGAATCTCCATTTGACCATAGAAATTCATTGTCAGTGGCAATGGTGTACCATTTTTGAACATCTCACATTCTTTGAAGACCTTATTATGGTCTCAGTAACTCAGAAGTGACTTGATGCCGAACAGTAAAAAAAAAAAAATGAACTGAAGGTTTTCTTATTTCTGCATTCAAGTTCTTTTATTGACACTACCCTTAAAATTATTCTTATTAAACAACAAAAAGATTTTAAAAAATTATGGCACCTTAAAGACTAATTCACATATTTTAATGTGAGCATTTGTGGATCAAGTCCACTTCCTCCATCCACAAAAGTTCACATTAAAATATAGCAGTTGGTCATTAAGGTGCCATATTTTCATCTCTTTTCTGTTTGTTTGTTTTTTGTCTGATATGCTTGTGCTGACTAACATGGCTACTTCTTCTAAAATTATTCTGTTTCTCATCACTAGGGCTTTTCTGACAAAACCAGAGCTTTGAAGGTTAATGTTTAAAAATAATTAATTTTCATTAGTTGCAAGCACTGACCCCAATACTTAGTTACCACAGTAGCTGCAAGTAATTACTTGTTTTCCTGACTATCTGTACTAGTGAGAGCAGGTTTTATACTTTAGAGAGAAAAAAATGAATGCTACAAGCACAACTCATTTCGAAAGGAGTCCTATATGTAGTTTTGTACAGTAATTTTTTCAGGACCAAAATGAATCTCAACAAACATGTATCTCCTTTCAAATATTGTATTTCTTATATTTAATTGATTTCAAAAATCTGAATACAATTATTGAAACAGCATTCATTCAAATGTTTCACATGTAATGAGATTGACTTCCTTCATTTTTCAATGTAGGTTGTATTATTTAAAGAACCTTAAACAGTTTTTATTGCCATTTAGCAGAGTGTCCTCTATGTATATTATGTGATGCCTTTTTTTTATTCTTCAGGAATCAGAAACAATGAAGTTATTAAGCCATTTACATGGAACATTCGCACAAAAGTACATTTCCAAAACAATTGGACGTTTTCCTGCAAAATAAGTAGTCACTTCCTTAGTTTCCCATGTCTTTCTACTCTATAATATAAATGAGAAAACTATGTACAGTAGTTGTAAAGCAAATGCAGGTGCCTGCTTCTGTAGGTTTTCTCCTAATGCATATTAAAGTGCACTAGGCTCTCAATCCTATTAAATATATTAGTATTTTGTACTAATGTTTTTCTGGCCGCAATGAAGCCTTTGGCATTGATTTCCTGAACTGTGATGATGTTGCAGAGGCTGAGCATCAGTGATATTGCAAACTTAGCAGCAGAGGAGAAGAGAGAGCTTTGGTTGAGGATTTGTGATGAAAACGAGGAATATACAGTGTAGATATTAGATGATAAAGCAAGGCAAAATGGAAAAAGTCAGAGGGAAGGCAGGGATCAAGGACATTTTGAGGAAGATGGTCAGAGGAATTGGTGTACAGTCAACCCTCGATTTCCAAACTTAATCCGTTCTGGAAGGAAGTTTGTAAGTCGAAAAGTTTGTAAGTCGAATCAGCATTTCCCATAGGAATGCACTGAAAACCAATTAATCCATTCCAGCTGTTTTTTGTTCTTAGGTCGAGGGGCGGTTTGTAACTCGAATCAGTAGTTCCCATAGGAACTAATGCAAAGCTGGTTAATCCATTCCTACCACTAGGGGCAGAATTTTTTTCTTTTTTTCCTTTTAACCTAAGATGACTTCAGTTTAAAAAAGGAAAGCAAAGAGGGAGGGAACAGAGACTTTTTCAACAGAACACCTTGAAAAACATCTTTTCAGCCAAGACAAGCAGCTTCTGGGAAAAACCAAGCACCTTTCAGACAATAGATCACCTTGAAAAGCACCTTTTCAATCAAGACAAGCCAATACAAACTCCTTTTGGGGGGAAAGGGGGCAGCAAAGGAGGAAGGGAACACCTTTTTAAAATCCAAAAATCAAAAATTTTAAAAAAGCCAAAAGATAAAATTACAGTCCGTACAGCACTGTACCAGGCAATACCAGGCAGTCTGAAGACTGTCTCCACATCCACTTTCAAAACGCTGGGAAGAACGAGGAAGCAGTCAGGCACCCTCTTCACTGGCCAATGGTTAACAAAGTTCAAATTTTGCGCTCTCCCCACCACCCGCATATGGTTAACTGAAAGTTCAAATTTTGCGCTCTCCCCCCCACCCGCATGTTTTTTTTTTGTTCGTAACTTGAATCTAAGTTTGCAAGTCAATATTTTTCTATCAGAGCGGTTTGTAAGTCGAAATGTTTGTAACTAGGGCTGTTTGTAAGTCAAGGGTTGACTGTAAAAGAGAAGCCGTCAGCTCCGTTTCTGAGAAAGCCCTAGGAGAGAGAACGTCAGCAGCCTGAAAGAAACAAGCATGAGGGAAGGAAGACTGGATCGCAGAGTTTTGCAGTGGGAACATGCAAGAAAGACACAGAATGAAGACTCACAAGAGTAGAGGGGGTCAAGTAGCCCAACCCAGCCCCCCAAAAAGAGGAAGGAAGTGAAAGTGAAACATAGGAACAAAAGGAAAAGGGGATTTCCTCAGTGAAATCAGATGAGCTCCGTTGGCCACAGTTGTAACATTAGGTTTCTAACATAGGCCCGTGTACTTTATGGCTGTCCATATGTAAAGATGCTTGAGCCATGGTTGTTCATCCAGTGACAAGGTGTATCTTAAGTTTTTTAAGTATGCCTCATACTTGAGATACAGTGTGACTGTAGTTCAGCACATGATAATTACTAAAACAAAGTATGAAAATGGTCGCCCACCCCCAGAAAACAAAACTGTTTGTGATGAATTATATTTGTTATGAGTCTCCCACCAGTGGCAACTAGTTCTGAATTAGAATAGGAGGTGTGGGGGTGGAATCTCCAGTGGCACTTAGGAACGAGTCTCCAGTTGCATAATCCTAGTTGTATTTATCAGTCTTGCATTTAGAAACATATTGGCAGAATTTTTGCTGAGGGATGTTCTGTTTAACCCCTTTATTCTGAATTGCAGTTGATTCTAGAGTAGTGATAGATGGGCTGTATACTCGCATGTGCAGTTGTATTTATTGGAAGTATACACCGAGATATGTTCAGCTCTACAAAATAAAGCCTGACTCTTTTTTCCCCCACCTCATATTTCTATCAGATTTTATTACTCTGTTCAAAAGGTGAGCAAGATGCATTTAATTTTTGTTCAAATTAGTGACAAGATTCTAGTTAGGGGGGAAGAAAACCTCATTATGTTTCATATATTAATGCGCCACAAACAATTCTGAAATAAACAGAGTCTACAATTTATGTTTATGAAGTGGTGCAAAAGTATGCTCAGTATTAGAGCCCCTAATTAACCCTAACATCTATCAAAAAAAGTTACCTTTATCCTAAAACGGGTGCTCAACTCACCTGAGAAGAAGAGAAATAAGACTTTTTGCTTATTTGAAAAATATGCTGTGCCTGGGGCTGTGCCCACAATTTAGAAGGCAGAAAAGCTTAACTATCGTTTAGTTGGGAACTTGATGTTTGCTATAGCTGTCAGGTAGTTGCTTAAAGAAGGGTTTGGCGCAACATGAACCCAACAGAGTTGTTGAAGTGTGCCTAATTATTTCTGACAGTGTATCTGAATATTTGATGGTTTGGACATCAGCAAAAAGCTACCCCAGTGCTGAAATTTGACAAGGTACAGAAAAATTATGTTCTTGGACCACCATGGGCAAGGAAAAGTTATGTTGCACCAGAAGTAGGAAAAATGTGAATTAGTATCTATCCTCAGGCTTGTCAAAGGAACATTTAATTTGTCTGTGAGTTGTCTCTGCAATTTAAAATCTTGTAGTCCTCCTGAGTATCATGTCATCATTATAGGAAAACTGTCCAACCTCATAATATAGATACATGTCAGTGAGACTTAAAATATCTAAAATTAAGTTTAATTGGGAAACAGACTACTGTATGTAGAATGTTAAGGGAGATGATACTGCTTAGCTATTAAAGAGAAGGCAACAAATGTTTATGAATTGTTTGTATGTGGTTCTTTGAACTTGACAGTGGCTTTGGAGCACCAGTAAATAGACATTCCCTGCATCTCTAAAGTGACAAAGAAAAGTAGTGAATTGAATTAGAGTTCCGTCTTGAATACGTCCACACATCCGTTATATACCTATTACAGCGGAACTACTTCTTTCTTCTTCTTTTTATCTTATTTTTGTGTTATAGCTTCATTTTTATGTTTTCCCCCTGCAATGCTGAAAAAGGCTGCTAGTCATTAATGTAGCACTGGGACAAGCATCCTGAAATGTGTTAATGTGTTTTAATTCAGTATTTGCTTTTACTATTGCTAAAATACCATTGTTTTAAAAATGGAGGTTCCCAACTTTTAGCTGTAGTCCAGAAAGAATGGTATTGCTATCACCCTGTCAGTAGCCTTAGGCAGGGCACTTTTTTCTTTAGAACAAGAGCATCTTACATTTCCCATTTATATTTTATCCAGGCTTATCAACAATGAGATGTAATAATGCATATAGGACATACAGCTTGGTAACTACGGTAATTTATGAGGGAAGAGGGAAATGTTTCTTATCATAACATCTTAATCTTTTAATCCAAGCTACTAGTTTTTATGAGAATTCATGACAACAGGCTTATAAAACAGCTTGAGTTTGACCGTAACATGTAAAGTGAGTTTCCTTAAAATTGTAATTGTAATCAAATGTGTGCATTTTGAGTCAAGAATATTCACTTTTTTTCTCAAAAGACTGATATAATGTGCAATAAATCAAATCCCCTTTTGACATGTGAGTTATAAGCCAAGTTAATGCATCTTACATTAAAAACTAGCTTTGATCCATGTTCCTTCTGGATTAATTTGTTCCTTTTAGATTAATTTGTGTTTGAAAGCATTGTGTAGGAGAAACCTTAAATGACAAGAACAAGTATTTTTGTTCAGATGTCATATAACAGGTGTGATTTTAAAATCTTTTAAATTAAATATTAGTGTAATTTGATTTGATTTTTAAAATCCTACTTCTGGATTAGGGTTTTCTTTTCTCACTAAATAATAGGTCAGAGCAATTTGTAATATCAGTTAACTTCCTATGAATATTCTTGGATGAATCTTCTGTATTTTGATATACTGAGGATTATATTTTTA